GTTGGTTAAGAGAATATTTTGCATAATTTCGTGCTTGTGGAAATGGCAGCTCCAATAAACCAGTAAATGTATCCGTGTATGTAACGAACCGGTTTTTAATCAATTAATTTTACAAAAGGCGAGTATAATTTTTGCAATTACATAACCGAAAATTCGATTAGCGAAAGTATGTTTAATTTGAAAAACAAAACTTTCGAACTTATGGAGTTTGAACTGGAGATTGAACTGAGAAAAGATGAAATATTGGAAATAAAGTTAAAAGCTATAGATATTTTAAGATTCCTGTTGCTCTACAATCGCAATTAACAATTGCACACTGTTCAAAGTCAATTACCTTAGGTGAACGTCTCCTAATTGATTTTCGATTGCTATGGAGTTTTTTTTTGATGAAATATTCCCGGAATATATATCTGGTATGCAAAATCGAAAAACGAAGGCATAAGAATTGACCGCACCTACTCAACTTTACAGGGCGTCATAATTGAATTTATTTTTTCAAAATCTTTATAACGCTCCGCAAGCAAGCTTCAAAAACCCAATAAAGTATATAAAGTCTTGGCCACTTTCAAATTCGAAATGCATCTAAGCATGTTCACTTGTCTATTTGTCCGTTTATCCGACTATATGTAGCATGTGTGGTACACAATCTCCCGTCCGCAAGAATGAAGATATCGCTTGCAAACTTGCAAAAGGATTTGAAAATTACTCTAATTTTTTAAGCAACATAAGTACACTCGCAACACGCCCACTCGTCCATGCTGCAAAAATCTTTTAAATTGTATAAATTTTCAATTTTTCTGTAAAAATGACCTCCACATGCAACTAATGAAGATAACAACTACCCCTAGGGTCAGAGGGTCAGGGCATGCCCCTAGGGCAAAACACATGTCTGTCTATCGCGTAAAAGGTTTCCCTTACTGAGTGCATAATACTTCTTGTGCCTCCTGCCATCATTCTGATTGGCTAATGTGTCCTTGAAAGCAAGTGTTTTTGGTCGATCACAAATTCCCCTGTAAAATCCGATCATATAATCCAATGGTATTGATATTCGATTATCATTATTCTACTCTCAGTCAATAAATCTCTGCAAAAGTCCAACGTATTTGTGTTTACATGCGGGTGCGCTATAGTTCATTCATTCATTATTTGTGTAGATCGTGTTTGAAACGCTCGTGATGCACAATAGTTGTGAGATTTTTATAGATCATTAGTCGTTGATTTCTTTACATCTTTGAATCTTTATTTATTTATTATTATTATTATTATTTTTTTTTTTATTTTTATTTTTTTTTTCTGGTTTGAAACTCCTCCAGCGACAGGAGGTTCTGGTCCTACATATTCATACTGGAGGTACACTGGTTTTACGCGGACGTATGCAATCCCCAGACGTATTTATGATAGCCCCACCTTTTACTCATTCATTTTCTGAATCGAGTTAAAGATGCCTTTAAGTCTGATCTCTTGTGCTTCATTTACAAGTCGCCTTTTTCAAGATGCATCTTCTTAGCATGAGATTGAATATTAATGAAAATTGATTCGATCGATTTGATTTTTATTTTTCCTCCGACGAAATTTGTGCAAAAAGGATATTTCGGGACATGTAAAACATTTTAATAGGATGCAACCATTCTTGATGCCCTTTTCACAAAGCCTCTTACAATTCTTTTCTTAAAAGATAATGATTGAAATTTTCTGCAATAAATTTGAATAGAATAAATTTGAACTTGCTTTCAAGACAATCCCCGGCGACCCAACAAAATATGTTCTATTATCAAATGAAAAGTTCGATCGATTGGTATGACAACGAGTTCGATTGGTTTCATTTTCTAGCCGAAGATGTCAATCCGGACGGATATATCATAATGAAATTATTGGTACCGGTCTGTTTGACAGACAGCTTGTCTTTCAATAACCTACCATTGCCGCCGCCACGAGAGTATATTAACGCAAGAGAGGGAACCGACTTTAATATCAAAAAACTGGAAGAGAAATACTAGAAGAAAAGAGAAAGAATGGAAGTCGTGACGTTTAAAGTGGCAGCTAAAAAAGTGCACACACACTATATGCAATATGTATATCGAAGAAAATTCGCTAGATTTACATTTCGCTGATTTACTACATACTTCTTTTTTTATTTTTCTAGATTCCGTGCATACTGTATTCTATATCATCCTCTTGATGAAACGGTCAGCACTGTAAACAAGCTTATCGCTGTATCTCTTACACATTTCGTTAATTTGGATTATGTGTGGAATATGATCTATGAACTTTGAGGAGCGTACTAGTTACCCGCAAGAACTTATGCAGTTGGCAAGCAAGCGGGATGAAATCTGCAATTGAATTAATTTTAGATCGCGGAAACTGCGGTGCACGAACAATTAATACACGCTTCGACGGTACGTTAAATGTACTACCTAGTATACATCTTGGTAGGATATTGCCGAATTAACACATTAAACAAAATGCAAGTTGCAAGTTGACTAATCTGTTTCGTTTGCTTCGTTACATTTAAGAGCATCATCTTAGAAATTATATAGAGCAAAATGTTTCCGAAAATAATCGCTTCTTTAGTTAAATAAGGACGGTCCGCGGAGACGCGGAGTTTGATCCGTAGTTATAACAGGAAGGAAGCAAATTTAATGGGCTCCCAACTAGTCAAATAATATCTGTATTTTAAAACCAAAGTTTTTAATTAGCGTATTTGCGCATATTTACAGACATAAAGACAGGAGAAGCTATGTAGGAAAATTAATATGTTCCCGCGTGGGCTTTCATTTGGCCACCATCGTTTTGCACATCGTCTCTACTCCGTGTATAATGGTTACTGGCTCGCGAAACTCCCGAGCTGATAGTGAGAAACACGAGACACCTATTATGTTTGGAAAGCAAAAAAATTTAATCAAAATGCACAATTTTTTTTTTTTTAAATCCGATTAGGGTTTCGTCATATTGTTGTAAAGATCAACCAGATAAGCTCACGGCGTAACTATCTTACTAAAGATTTCAATTCATTTTAAGTTGTACACGTTGGTTCGTAAAGATTCCTTGCAATCAGTCCTTGATAGAATTGGGAACATTTTTCAAAGAGCTTCAAAGTAAAACTCACCCACAGATCTTTAAAATAGACAATAAAAAAAGTTTACGTATTTTTTTAACACAAACATTATTATGCAGAAATAAAAAAAAAAAACGCCAAAATAAATGACAAAAAAAAAAAGCAAGAAATAAATTAAACATAAAAATAAAATATTCCTTTTAATTTTTGAATATCAATATCCACCACAATACATGCAAAACAAATGAGAACGAATATACGCTTATTCTCAAAGCGGCACAATACATGCAAAACAAATGAGAACGAATATACGCTTATTCTCAAAGCGACACAATACATGCAAAACAAATGAGAACGAATATACGCTTATTCTCAAAGCGGCACAATACTTGCAAAACAAATGAGAACGAATATACAAAGCTTTTTGCACAAAAGCTCTCTTTATATGATCTCTCTGTTTACATATATCTTGAGTTTACATTATTAAATGCCGCTATTGTTCTGTGCGATAATTCCGTCTCTGTTCTGCATACATGTTTTATATGCAAGCTCTGTATACTAGTTTTGTAAAAAAGTTCTCTTTGTTTACAAATATTTTGCAGTTGTATTATTAGACGCCGCCATTGTTCTATATAATAGTTTCGTCTCTGTTCTGCATACATGTTCTATATGGAAGTTCCATATACTGGTTTTGTACAAGAAGTTATTTTTGTTTACAAATAGATTGCGCTTGCATTATTAAACACCGTCTCTGTTTTGCATACATGTTCTACATGCAAGCTCTACATAATGGGTTTTGTACAAAAGCTTCTTTTGTAAGATCACTTTGTTTACACATACTTTTTGTCTGCATTATTAGATGCTGCTGTAATTCTTAATTGAATTGTAAGTCTATAAATATAAATGAATGCATACTTACCACACAATCGAGATTATCTTTTCACAGACTTTGTAAAGTAGGTGGAGTGCTAAGAGTTTGTCCGTGCATGCCAATGAAATGAACTTCAAAACAGTAAAATTTTTTCTTTCAACAAAAAAATCGAAAAAAAAAGTTGTCAACATTAATAACACACCAAAGTCTGTCCAAAGTGTACGTCTGTACTATGTTTGTTCCACGGTATTATCGATAAAGCATTGTGTATTTTCAAACATCTTTCGACCTAGACTTGTGTACGTCCTGTTTATATCTATACAGTTGTACCATTTTCAAATCATTTCGAATCTGCAATTAAAATTGTCAGAAAAGTTGGCAACACTGCTTCTTTCTATAGTAAACACAAAAAAGAAAATTATCCTAAAAAATGTAATTAAGCAAAGTTCAATAAATAATTGATATCGAATCGGTGGAATAAAAAGAAATAATGGCAGGTTTCATTGAACCGAACAAGACTCTAAGTGAAAAATTTAAGCGTTAAGCGACAGCGAATATAGTAAGCATGGCGCCATCGTGTTTACTGTTGCTTTGGGTTGCGTAGCATATAATAAAAAAGTACTTGTGTTGTTGTTGTTTTTATTATAGATAATAGAAAATGGAGTACATGAACCATTTGCATCAAAGGACTCAACAAAGGACTTATTTGAGCAGTTTTTAAGTTATTTAGCAAAGTAAACGCAACGATGTGATTGTCATGTGAGATCCTACAACAAAATGTTTCAGAGGCTTTGGTTTTGTAACTTGCAAAAATGCAACTACGATTGATAAAGCATAAGCGGCTAGTGGATGGAAGGTGTTATATCTCGCTCTGAAGTAAGCGATGATCCCACAGTAAACAAAATTTTCGTTGGAGGTCTTAGGGAATATCACGGAAGAATATTTCCAGCCAGTTGGCAAAGTTGTTAGCGTAAATGTTTTGTCAGACAAAACTAGAGAGTTTTGATGATTATGACGCACTTGATAAGGCGATCTATGTAAGTACTTTGTGTTCAATTACAAATTATGCTATATATATTTATGACGACATGGACTGCATAAAGACTTTTTTCACGGTTATAGAAGGTGATATTTATAGTGTTCTTTGAACATTACCTCTCGCCTAAGTAAGTGTAAAATTTGTTTTAACTCTTATTAAATGCTTGAATTTTTATTAAAAAAAAGAAAAAAAAAATATTGAAATCAACCGGAAAAATAGAAAAAGAAAAAAAGAAAAAGCTTGAAATTTTGAATTGATTTAGCGTTGTCTGTCCGTCTGTTTGGCGTTTGTTGTTGGCACTCTCCTGGCCGCAAAAATACCGGCTTCGAATTTTTTTTGAAAACATAGGACGTTTTTGCACGCCGGTTGGTATTGAAAATGGGTTAAATTGATTCGCGCATAAGCCCATTGTTGGAGGGTAAACTGAATGCAACTCTGTTTTTTTTTTTTTTTAATCGAAATCGTGTGTTTTTGCTCGTTACTCAGTCATTATAAAAGTCCGAAGTCTGAAATTTTCCACATGTACTTAGCGAAACATACTACTTTATGCAAAAATGGAAAAATCGGCAGTGCCTACAAAAAGTTTCGTGTAATTAAATTTGATTTTTTTCACTTTTTTGATGTTGTTGTGAAGTGATTTTGATAAATGGGCGCAAGAGTATTAGTTAAAAAAGCTAGGGAAGCAGTTTATTTTTTCCATTTTCTTTGTTGAACCCGAACCCATTCCGACCGATGTAGATAGTTATTGAAATAATCTTATATAGGCCGAAGTGGATCCATATTCCATGCGGCATTCGATCAAAACACCTCAACACAGCTCAATGGTTGGTCTGTCCATTGTTACTGTTGGTGGTCTACGACTTGGAAAATTGACGGTTATGTTGCGTCCAGCGAGATTACAAACGCCTCCATTGAAACTTCTGACGCTATCGACAGACTGGGCGCGTGCCTCACGTTCGTATACAAAAACGCTCTCCAATCGAGCGGCTCAATATCTGGCTATGCCATAGATGACCTCATCGCGATCTGCGTAATGCTATTTCATCTAACCTATCGTAATTGATGAAAATCCGCGAGCGCAATTCATGGCACTGAAATATACGTCATTTTATTTCGTCTGCCAAACTGCAATTTATACCGCCAGTGAAGTCATCTTCTTTTAGTGGGCGAGACATGCAAATGTAACCCCTTACGTTTCTTTGTGGATCTAATGAGTAAATAGTACTATTACTATATCGGATCTGATCTATACATGCATACTATAGTATGTAGTAATGTGGATTTCAGCTAACGATATCGGGAACTATATATAAATCGGCACTAATTATGAAAAGAAGTATGAATGAATTTTAAATAATTTTACTTTATTTCATTTATAATTCCGTTTTCTTTTTTTGTTTTTTTTTTTTTTTTAATTTTTTAGTTTATTTCTTTTTTTTTTTTTTTAATTATACTTCTAAATATGTATATATAATTTTTTGTTCTCCGTAAAAATTTTATGATTTTACAAATACAATTAGAGAAAAATGAAAAACAAAAAAATAAATGTAGAAAAGAAAGACTTATGAACACGAGTTAAATATGTTGAAAAAAAAAGAGAAAAATTAAAATAAAAAGAAAAAAAAAACATATTAAAACTAAACCCGAATATATAAAGTTTTTATCTAATTTTTTTTATTATCAATTATCTTTATTACTATTTTATTTTTAAATAACACAAAATGTTTAGTTTTGAACTTTAAATTCTTGTGGTTTAAATTACGTTTTTTAATACAATTTTTCTTTTCAACCTGCTGCGTATTTTTGTTTTTTATTTATTTTATTTATTTTTTTTATATTTTTTATATTAAGTAAATCTACGTGTGTATTAAATTAAAATGTTAATTATTACTTTTTCTCATTTTTTTTTTTTTTTTTTTTTTTTGCTTTTCTTTATCTAGCTTAGAGGGTATGATTTGTTGTTCTTGTTGTTGTTGCTGATGTTGCTGTTATCATTAAGTGTTTCGTTTACAAATGAACTATTAAATAATCGTTTTAACTGAGATTTTCTTTCCCTCCCAAGGGCCTCATTTACACATACACACACCCACACAAATACACGGACACACATATTCGTGTATTTTCCTGTGTAAAGAAAAATATACAATTTTACTGTGTTCTTCATCTCCTTCCAATGTTTAGGCATAAGTTAACATAGCTAGATAAAATATTGGAAGATTTAAAAGCAAGAAAAAAAAAAAAAGAAAAAGAATAACTTTAGAATTCGCTTCCGTTTAGTTTACTCTTTTAAGATTGGAGTGACAAGTTATTAGTGTATAAATATATGCGTATATATACCCTTATATTTATATGTATGTATGTAACGTCTGAAAATTAAGTCTTTCTTTTGCTTTATTTATTTATTGCATTTTTCAACAAAAAAATTTTTATGAAACATTAAAGAAAAAAACTGAATTTTATAAAAATTTCGAAATTTTGTAATATTGACAAAAAAAAGAAGGTTGAAGTTTTTATTCTTTTAAATTAAAGCAGAGTGCGGTATATTGTTTAAATTTAAAATAGATAATAAATAAACAATAATTTCACTCAAAATTTTGAAAACAAATTAGAAAGAAGAGCGTATGATTTTTAAAAGCTTTTACATAAAAAAAAAAAAAAAATTATTTTTTAGTACAAAAATTAGGTATAAATTGTGATACAAAAATAAAGAAACAAATTTAATACAAAAATAAGAATTAATACAAAAAAATTTGAGAATAGAAAATTAGAACTTGCAATATGAAAAAATATAAATTCTGTACTGGATAGGGGGGCGGGGGCGCGGTGAAAATCAGGGAAAATTTATATTAATCAGGAAATTAACAGATCTTTTTCACCCAAGTTGAAAATTTTGGTTTTTTTTCTCTTTTTCTATAGTTTAAAAGGAATCTAAAATAGTAAACAGTTATAAATTCAACAATAATATGAAATTTGTGTAGTGATAAAGGAAAAAAAAAAAAAAAAATTTTTTATTCTTTTCATCAAAGCCATATGAACATCGGACTAAACAATAATCGCCAAAAAGAAGAATATTAATGAAGAGTAATTAGTGGTAGCGGAATGAAACAGCAGCGACAATCACCCATACACATCAAGGCTTTTTTAAGTATCATATTTTCAGTTTCTTTTTTTGTCCAATTCTCCCCCTTTTACACTAAGGTCAAGACCTAAGCTACGAACTTTCATTTTTTTTTTTTTTTTTATATATATTACTTACAAAAAAAACAAAAATAAAAATACGTAAGAAAACGATACGCAGCGCCGTTAAAGAAAATTCGACCCAAAATTACTATCAACATCATTAAAATAGCTAAGTGGCGCCGCGTAAGATAAAAAAAAAAAAAAAAATTCAGCAAAAAAAAAAAAAAATTCCATTGTTGACAACAATTACAAAAAAAAAAATGTTAAAAAAATAAAATTGGATAAAATAAAGTTGAACTCTGTAACGTAAACAGGAACACCAAGTTCTCGTGTACATCATCTTATAAAGATTATATTAATTAATGTTGATACTGTTGTCACTGTTAGTGTTGCTGTTAAGTATAAGTGTAGAAGGTGGATGAGGAGGTAGAGGGGCCGAAGCCACCACGGTGTTAGTGGTTGTCGCGGTTGTACCCAGACCGGTGTACCGAGCTTGATGTATTGCTGCTGCCACTGTTGTCGCTGTTTGTGGTGGTTGAGGTTGCGGGTGGTAAAAAAATATTAATGGTTAGCGCCGTACACCATAGCTACTGCTCGACGATTGTGCATTATTGTTGCAACCACGCATCTGCGAGCCACTGCCGCCATTCGAGGCACGATTATCACTGCGATTGAAAGAGCCACCCATACGTGGCCCGCTGGAGCCACCGCGTGACATGTTATTGTTATTATTACTATTGCCACGCATCATACTGCCCCCTGCACTGCCCGAATTAGACAAGGACCGGGAAGCTGGTCCGCTGCTATTCATATTTCTTTGATTATTATTAATATTGTTGTTCATACCGCCTGCACCGCCACCCATTGACTGACGTGGAGGCAAATCATTAGTTCGAGCACGGGGCTTTTTCTCCTCAACATTAAGTTTTTGGCGATCCGGAGAATTTTCAGGGAAGTATAGCGGCTAGAATGGCATAAAGAACACACACACGCACACAATAATAAATAACGCCGCCTACTTAATTGAGGATTTTTTTTTTTTTTTTAAATAAGAATCTGTACTTACACAATGGGCTAAACAATTTTGCACTGATTCTGCATCTTCGTATGTTATGAAGCCGTAATTTTGTGGATTACGTATGCCAGGTGGCAGTTTGTTACTACCTTTGGATAATATTCTCAAATCAACAACCGTACCGAAACGTGCAAATAGTGCCTTTAGTTCTTCTTCCGAGGCATGATGTGGTATATTTCCCAGGAACAATTGCTGGTTATCACCAAATTGTTGGTTATTGTTAGTACGTCGTTGATCAAAGTCTGTGATAAGTAAAAAAAACAATCAATTACTTTAATTAAGTTAAATTTTGATTTGTTTTGCTTCAAAATTTACCTTTATTGAAGCCCTTAGCGTTCTGCCGTTGAGGTAATGGGGCACCTTGGCTATTAGTATCTTGACGCGCGGAAGAATTATTCTCGTTGTTGCCCCGATTACCGTATATGGACATTGATGTGTTCCCAAGAGTCGATTGAGAAAACGTTGTAGACGAAATTGTTCCAGTTGTTTGATACGCGCTGCTGCTAGATTGCTGCTGTTGTTGAATTTGTTGTTGCTGTTGCAAGGCGGCGTTAACAAAACTGCTTGGAGACGAAGAAGTCGATTTGAAAAGATTAGCGTACGTTTTAGGTTCGCTTTGTTGTTGTTGTTTGGCGGCTTCATATTTCTCTTGCTGCTGTTGGTCATTAATTATTTTAAAATCTTCGACAACGGGAGCTGGATTTACTTCGGGAACGGCACCGGACACGGATGAGGAAGAAGATTGTCCACTAGCTACCACATTTGCAGCTGTGTTCGGACGGGTTTGCTCTACTTGCAACGTTGCGTTAGGAGTAATGACCATGCTGCAAATAGAATCATCAACATCCGTCATTGCAGCGCTGGTTGTTAAATTTTGCACTGGTTGATGTTGCATATGTGTTTGTTGCGAGACTGAATTTGGTATTGGCTGTTGTTGTGGGGGTTGCTGTTGTTGCTGCTGCAGGATATGTGTTTGTATAAGAGGTGTTTGTTGTGGATAACTGGGCATGGTCGTTACGACATTCTGCGGCAAGCCAGTGGTTGCCGTAACTACTGGAACACCAGACACGCATGTAGGAACCTGAGCAATTACAGCAGAAGTGGCAACAGAAACCGCCCCTGCAGGTTGAGGAACCACTGGTGAGGGTGCTTGGTTTGCTAAGGGAGGCTGCTGGACCACATTCTGTTGTGGCATAGTTGCTAATAATTCCTCAGGGCCAACAACTCCATTTAATTGATTCACAGCAACAGCGTTCGTTTGCACCGACTGTTGCTGTGGTGGAGGAACTCCAGCCGCAGCAAAATTAGCTCCAAGTGGAACTGGAGCAGCACCAGGAGGTGGAGGCAACACGGCCATTGGGGTCCCTGCTCCTGTTGGCATCGAATAATAGACGGCCTGAGCTCGTTGTGACATTACACCGGCAGCACCGCTTCCACCAGCGACGACTTGAGTGGGAATTTGCTGTTGGTGTTGTTCAGACGTTAACACTTGTCCTGGCTGCTGCTCGGTTATAGTAGCTGTACCTGGTACTACCTGACCCGTTTGGGTTGCTACTTGTTGATCATGCTCATCATCGTTCTCTGAGCGCGATTCGCCATCAATTTCCTCATCGGAATACAAATCCTGGTAACGGAAAATGTCATTATGTACATAGTACTTCTTGGGCGATTGAGAAGCCAAAACAAACGTCTGAGTAAAACGACGCATTGGCTGGCCGTCGTTCGACAATTCCCCAGTTACTTGCACCACAACACCGTTACCCAATGTTGCCTGGGCATCCACTTGACTGATTTTAGCATGACAGTCGTGAAAATTCAATTGTTGGATACGATTGTGAATATTTTTTTGACCCACAACCAAAGTCGATTCACCATGTACAAACGATGAATTGTTATTATAAAAGCGATGCAAATGATTGGGGGCCTTATTCAGAAGCGTGTAATATTGGCGCACAAATTCGCGTCCAACCGATTGTGGTGATGGTTGTTGGGGTTGCGTTGCATCCATTACCATTGCGTTTTCTTGCTGCTGTCTCTTTAAAGTAATGATGCCAGTAATTGGAACGACGTTTCCGTTATTATTTTGCGGTGCCAGTTGAGCGTTGTTTGATGTCACAGCGGGCGTTGGATAAATGTTTCGTTGAAAATTGGCCGTTTTTATAAAATTTATTCAGATTTTAAAGCTATAAATGCTGCAAATTTATGGAAATATAATAAATCAGATTATTATTCCTTTCAAGTCAAATTTGTATATAAGTGAGCTTTTTTACATTTACAAAATTTCTTCTTAAACTTCTTTTTCGTTGCTCATTTTTTTCATCAATATTTTAGAAATTTAATAAAAATCATTTTACAAAATGACATTTTTTTTTTTCTTTAATTTTTAATTTGATTAGAAAAGATGGATATGAGTTTATAAAAAATTTTGTTAATAGGAAAGTTAAATGCGTCTCTACTACTTGTACGGTGGGAGAGATATTTATTTCGTTCTACACAAACCGATTGAATCAAAACCACACCTAACGTAGTCATTCATTTCATCAAATCGCCAAGTGAGTGTTACAGCCTTTTGTTCATAAAATCTCGCAAATTCGATGATCTTCGATTCTTGGACAAGAGTTGGCGACTATTTTAAGCACATCAATAGATGAATTATTGTTACAAATGAATTATTTTTAACATCGGGTTAACTTGGATAAACAAAGATATATAGTTATTTAAAAACAAATAAAACTGTTACTTATAGATAGATCTCGAGCTAAGTTTTGGGTAACGACTGTTTTAAGGCAATTAAATTTAATTTGCAATATTTTCACTTCTCTTCATTATGTTAAAAACAGTTTGGTTTGATTTAGCTCTAGCTCGTCGCAAAATTTAGGTTATCTTCTCTGGATGATATATAAAAAAAAGTTGGCAACAATGTTTTAAAATTCTCTATTTTTCCAATGTTTTTTTTTTTTAGGCAAAAAATGTCCGTTCTTTAATTTTATTTAACCCTAATTAAGAACGCACATGCAAACTCGAAACTTGTCATTTTAATTTTATGCCAATAGTCTCTTAACTCCTCTCTCTTCCCAACCTTAAATTATGATCGTTTCCATCATATTTCAATATTTTTCTATCTATAAAGATAGAATGCAATAAAAATTAAGTCATTTTTTTTACACGGCATGCAACGATACGGTGGTTTATGAGAAAGAAAAAAAAAAAGTAACCATCTCATGAAATTCCTTTTATTCCTTGACTTTGTCTGATTTCAGATAAATTGATTTAAGAGAATAAGATGCGAATCTCAATGACAAAAGACTTTATATAGGAATTTTTTTAGGTTATACCGCAGTATTTTACTGAAAAAGCATTTGACTGCGGACAAGTTGTAAGTTAACACGCCAAGGAAAAAAAAAAGCATATATCAATGCATGTAAATATGTGTCTTGTACACATAAATGTGCACACGCATGTATATGTATATGTATATATATATATATATATACATATATGTCTATATATATGCGAGGTAAGCCTACTTTTCAAGCAATAATTTCTATACAGACAATTATTTTGGGGACATAAAGTCGAATCCATATAAATAAGTTCAAGTCTAATGTACTTACATTTTGTAATGCACAGGATTATTGCTTTTAGACGTGTTTGCCAATATCACCAGGGTGTTTAATGTCACTTTTCAATAGCGCTCTTTCGATGATGTTTGCTAAGGATCCTTGCCAAGTTTTTTGCACCCTTCTCTTCCTCGAAACACTCACGATGCGCCACACTCTTTGGATTATGAAAAATATTTCCGAATTATCGACAAACTTTGAATTAATATTGTCTGATAAGTTTATTCGGTTATTGATCTCAAATAAATAATAACTTTTTAAAAGACAAGTTTTTATTTTTTTGACAATTTTTTTTTCCTTTTTTTTGGTGGCGTTTTTATTTCCTCTCCTCACGTCGTGTTATGGTTACTAGTGTCGCCTCCGTCGTGCAAATTCGATTTGAATGCCGTTTTTTTTTTTTCTGCTTTCCTTCTTACGGCGTTGAACTTCCCTCTTCTGGATTTTAAAAATTTATTATATTGGCTTATTTTTGCAAAACTTTTTGTGTTGCAGCACGGTTACGTTTGCTTATATCTGTAATCACAGGTTTTTTTTAATATTATTTAGTCGTAGTTACTCTTTTTTTTTTTTTTTTTTTTTTTTTGTTATATATTAAAAATTTATTTATGCGAAAAATAATTGCAGTCTAGCGTTTAAATTGAACAAGTGCTAAATTAAAGTGGCCATTACTTTATACCGATTTTCGCATCGTGTCTTTATCCCTCTTCGTGTATTCTTAAATGCGTCTGATTTATATATTTGTCTCTCTTCTTTGTATATAGTTTGCTTGCAGTCCCTCTTTAATCATATATCCCTGAATAGAATATTGTCTGAAAAATATCAACCCGCGTCGGCTCAAGGAAGCAAGAACAATCTTAGATTTGTTGTTGTTATTGCAATTTAAAGAAATTAATAAATTACTTTTAACAAATTTTTTTATTTATTTTTATATATGATTTTTATTTGAAAAGCGTACAATAATTGAAGTAAGTTATTGAATGTTTTTAGATTATCGGCAAATTTTTGCAATTTTGACAAGAGTTGTCACGTTTCAAAATTTCATTGTAACTTTTAAACTGCTAAAATATAAATATAAGTAGTCAGTGTTTACGGGAAATTCGGAATAAAGTATACTAGCTAAAAAAGAATATCACAGCATTTACTAAAAAATATTGCTTCACATTTCGAACGTTGGAATAAAGCACTTTAAGAAAATTTATAAAATTTCGAATATATTCTACGATTAAAAAAGTAGACTGAGCCTTAACGATAAAGGCAAGATACACTACATGATTATTGATATTATTGCCGCCCAGTATTTTCAACACGTTCATATTTTTAAAGACTCTGAACACGAGCCTTCGGATATTGGAAAATTTTTGGAATTCACAATGTATATGTTTAATCGGAAAACTTTATCCACTATTGCGAAATGGAGAAGTCAGTTATTTAAGGATCGATTTGCGTATTGTAGTGGTATGACCACCGCGGATTTTTTCAAATGATTTGATTTTGATTTTCTCAACATTGATTGGATATACGGATGGAACGAGATTAACATTCACAAGCGAGTAGTACGGATGGTGCCACGGTTGATTTTTCCACTAATTTTCTCTTCGATTTTTTTGTAATGTACCTTTGAAGTTCAAACTTTTCCATTATGTCGCCCACAACTAAAGATGCTAAAGCAACCGTATGACTCGGTATCCAACAAATTTGCATTTTGTCCCCCTACGTGGAAATTGCAATTTTAACCAGAAATCCGTCACACGAAAAGAATGCATACCAAAATTTCCTTTTCACTTGTTTTCCTTATACAAAAAAATTTCGGTTAAAAATTAAAAAAAATAGATTAATTAATTAGACCAATTAATTTGACATACATTTAAACATAACACGTTCAATTATTAAGTGTCGTATGTGGATATAACATTAAAAATGCACATTCCTACAATGAAGTTAGTTATAGAAATTTACAGTTTTAAATTATCATTATAAAAACGTTATCAATGGGCATTTATTATAAAACGAAATATCTCTTCCTGAATATGTCTTTGATAAGCAAATCTATATTAAACCGATAAATAATCCAAATTCCTTTCTCTTATATTTTTAGATTACCTAACTCAAGGCCATGTTTTGAAGTCAAAATAGTTTATGCGTTGTAGTAAATTCGTTATGTGAATCGTATATATAATTATTCAAAGCGTTAAAAACGAGAGTAAAGATTTCTTAAAAGAAGATTTTCTTATATAAAATGCTGATAAAGACGCAAAGCTATTGCTTCCGTCTGTTATTTGATTATGTTCTGCAACTACTGCATACTGCATACACAATAGCTGCGTTTGAGGGAAAGAAAGAACAGGACGACAATCTAAATAAATATACTTACAAAGTAAATGAATGAATTCAGCACTTGATGTTATTCAGCAAAAAAAAAAAAAATTCCGAATGCTATTTTACGACTGACTTTTTTCATAATTCTCTGTCTTTTCCGGCTGCTTAACGTTCGGGTCTAAGGAGTATTTGATAATTGAAAGAAGTAAAAGTGTATCACGCTGCATATTTTTCATTAAAAATATAAAGAAAGGAATAGATTTTGAACTCAAAAAGAGTTTTGTAAAGTTACAAAAAAAAAGTGAAGTATTTTTATTTAAACAAAACACAATGGCTGATAAAACTCAAGATTGTGAAATGAATGGTGAAGATTTTTCCCAAGACGTCAGCACCATGAATGAAAAAGAAAATGGTGGATCTACCGGTAATACTAATGGAAATGCCAACGAATTCACAAATGCCCGCGACGATGACAGGTATTTATAAATATTTCCTAAGCTCTATATAGTATTTTGCTCCAAATAATTGAAGTGAAAAATTGACAAAATAAAAAAGCTAATATTACATAAATCTGAATTAATGTGGATATATATACATATATATATATATATATATAAATAAAAACGCGAAAAGATGAAGTAAAGGATTTTTCTCTATATGATGTGCCTTTTTTTTGCTGTTATTTTTTTCTATTTTTTTTTTTTTTTGTGTGGAGTATGCAAGGTGATATGCGCGTGTGTGTGCAACTGTACTTTTTGTCATTCATCATTCGATGTAAAAAGATTCAATTCAATTATGTATTTTCCGAAACTTTATCCTTAATCGATGATGAAACCTTCAATTACTATTTTTTTTTTTAAATATTTCCTTCAAATTTTCATTTGATCATTCTATTTACAAATTTTATATTACCTTTTGAATCAATCGTTTTCAATATCCAAAACTGAGGTTATGCTTCAATGTTAGAGTGTGACAGTTATATAGTGTACTGTTGAGAAAAACATGCTTTATTTTGCCAATCTTCTATTTTATGTATTCTCATCTTATATTTTGTTTCTTATTTCGTTATTGTTTTAATTTTATTTAATACGCATTACTTCTAATTTTTTTTTTTATTGTTCAACTTTTATTTGTAAATTTATAATGGAATATATAGCCAGTACTTTTCGCTTGAGGTATATTTCAAGTAATCGAATAAATTAATGCTTGTTTATCAAGCAATGTTATGTCATAGGCAGGCTTTATTGTGGTAGGCATTTACTGAAAAAAGCAAATTATTGTTTGCTACTTCGTATTGCTAGGTTTAGGCTTTATTTTGGATTTCTATTATTGAAGCAAAGATTTATTGTTAGGTTTGCGTCATAACAATATAGAAATTGGTATTGGCGGAATCATAGGAAGGTGTTGTGTGATTGAACAAAGGTTAGTTGATTGATGCATTTCAAGCGGAGTCACAGTAATGATGTCTCTTTCTTTTTTTTTTTTTTGCTAAGCCTAAGATACTTGCAACATTTAATATAAGCATTTTTGAACTGCGTCATATTTAAACTTCCATTCAACAATGCCTGTCGATCATCTGATGAGGTAAAGTACTGCAATTCTCTTGTCTATTGTTAAACCCGCAATCGAAGAATGGAGCGAAATGTCGAATTGAAAATATCTGTTTGATTCAGCGAAATCTCCTAAAAATATAAACAATGTTGGTCCCCAAAGGATTATGTTTATGAATACGAAAATGTAGAATATATATCAACTAATTATTTAACAACGGCCCCGCTCGAGACTAAGCGGAAGTAATTAATTTCAGGTTTTTCCCATTCAAAATCTAATGTAAATATCAACTCACTGCCTCGATGTAAACAAATAACCAAACACGTGGAATATATAATAAAATATCTTTAAAAAAGTCATGCTTAAGATATTTTTGGTTTTTTTTTCGGATGTTGAGTTAAGGTGGACCAGGCATGATTAAGATATGACTGAATGTGTGGATTTATCGGATTTTCAGTGAATATTTTGATGTGAGCGAAAAGTACTGCAATTCTTTCCAGTATTGATTGTAAAAAAATAAAATACTTTTTCTATTTTTTTTTTTTTTTTTATTCATATAAGCATTACATTCGTTTAATTACTAATTTGATTTTAATTTGAAATTTCGTTTACAGGATTTTTAAACAAAATTTCAAAGTATAGGCACTTTTTTTATTAAATTAGGGTTTGCTATGATTGAATGATTCCCAATTATTGTAGAAATTTCTTTAAATATCATTATTTCTTTTGAATAGCGAAGGTTCGTTTAAAGTGAATTTATTAAAAGTGATCAAAATAAAAGTAATTTTTGTACTTTCGTCAAATTTTCGTTTCATATTCGTATTAACTTTAATGAAAAAAAAAAATGTTCACTGTGTTCTTAACCCCTTAAGACTTTTAAATGAGTTTCACGCACGCAACTAAGTATATGTGGAAGAAAATATCTTCTACGCATCGTCTATGCATCTGAATAAAAGTCGTTCTGTTTTTACGTCATAAAAACCCCTATTGACCCCATCGCTGAGGTCAATTTGTTTACGTTGTCTGCTTTGTCCTTTTAAAATTTATCGCATCGCTCGAGCGAAGTAAATCGTAACTTTCAAAAATACATTGAAATGTTGAGTCTGTCCGTCTAATCAAAGTTAAGAAGTAACGAAAGGCTCTTGTCAAGATTATTTTTGTCCATTGGCGTATATCGTTTGTTCTAAACAAAAATTTTTAATATCGAAAATTTCGTGTATTTCGCGCAACCGCCTTCTTTCAGTAATAGCAAAGATTCATTAGCGACATGGCTCTACAAATCGGTCCGTTTGCTATGACGGTTTTAATTAAAAAAAAAAAGAAGAAGTTGTCAAATTAGGTTCACGGCCTTAATTTATCTCTTTTAGTTGCTTAGATAGGTTAGTATTAAATTGCAAATTCCGTCATTTAAATTGGTTCGAATATGTGCATGTGCATATAAAATGCAATATTTAAATGTAGATTTGATTTTCATTTTCTCTTATTTACCTGCGAAGTGCTGCAAAATCGTACAAAAATATGACTTGAAATCTTTAGAGAGTGCGCAATACTACACACGATCAATCAATACGGATTTTCAATATATCTTGGAGTCAAATGCCTCATGGGTAACTACAAAGTCTTCTTTCCAAATCGTATATATCTCTTAACGTAATCGTGTTTATCTTTCTTCCAAAGTCGTATATGTCTTCCTTGATATTCTTACAAAAAAAATTTTCTTTACTTTTTTTTTTTTTAAAGTATCGTCTTTAAGGGTTTAATTACACATTATTTGTATTAAAAATTATATCAAGGATATATTGTGCTCAGACTGAGAAAGCCCTAGATTAAAATCATGAAACAAGTAAAAAAAAAAAAAGAAAGATTGAACACAAGTTAAGAAAAAAATCTGTGTAAAAAACACTTTCCTGTTGTGTTTGAGTGAACTAATTTCGTTCCTCTCCGGCAGGTTCTATAAGCCATAAAGCCAAACAGTCTTATAGATTTCATCCGGGAACGGCAGCAGCATTGCGCCTCATCCGTCATCCGATGTAAGAGCATATGGAACATAGTGACCAGCAAAAGGGAGTGAAGATGATGTTGATATCTACTTACCCAAATGCGCCGGTACACTGGTGATGGTGAAGAAATGCTGCCCAGTTCGCCCTGCGTCTCTTCTATGCAAGACGATGGTATTTATCTTAATAAACCACATAAATGAAAACAAAAAAATAAGAATAAAAAACACAATAAAAAAATATAGTTATCTATGCAAAATTGGATCAAAATAACGTTTAATTTTAACGATATCCAAAAAAAAAAAAAAAAAAAAGAACAGAAAACGTTAATCTTGCGGAATAGAAAACTGAATACAGAACTCGTTTTTATTTGATGCGTCAACAGCAACTTTACAATCAATCAATCAATCATCATTCGGTCTCAAATTCGATTGCTATTCGATAATCTTTTTTTAAATGAATTGAATAATTTTTGTGTGCATTTTTCTTGAAGAATAAAAATAATGAAGTTACTTTTTTCTGGCCATTTGTTTTAGATATTAAGCATTTAATTTATAGTTGACAAAAGAAAATTAACGTAAACTTAATTTTTGAAAAATTTATATTAAAAAAGTTTTGTTTCTCCTTTTATTCAAAATAAAAACTCTTCCCTTTGTCGTATGAATTTTTCTCAAATTTTTCGATAAATGGTTAAAAAAAGTGTTATATATATCTTTTTTATTAAGAAAAATTAATGATCGATCGAACCCAATAATAATATATAGACTTTTTTTAGTGTATTATGAGTGTTTTAATTTTCATTTTATATCGTCAGAAATGCTTTTAAAATGAAAAAATTTCGTGGTGTGAAAAACGTTTAAAGTTACATTTTTTTTTTTTTTTTTTTTTGCCGTTTATAACGTAAATTTTCAAAATTTAAATAAAACACTTTACTATTAATTTGTTCTACTAACTGAATAAGAATTAATTTTGTATTTTTAAAAATTTTGCAGAAAATTATTTGTTGGCGGTTTAAGCTGGGAAACGTCAGAAAGTAAATATTTTGATTTATTTATTTTTTTATTATTATTATCATATTGTGATGATTTAATGATTTCATTTTTCAGAGGAGTTGCGTGAACATTTCAGCAAATTTGGTGAGATTGAAAGTATAAATGTGAAGACAGATTCGCAAACCGGTCGCTCACGTGGTTTTGCGTTCATTGTTTTTACCGGCCCAACTGCGATTGAAAAAGTAAATGAACATGGCGAACATGTCATTAATAATAAAAAAGTTGACCCGAAAAAGGCTAAAGCTCGGCATGGAAAGATTTTTGTTGGCGGCATAACTAACGAAATAAGCGATGACGAAATTAAAACATATTTCAGTCAGTTCGGCAATGTAAGTTTAATAATTGATATGAAACAAAATGAATAAAATAAAAATAAGACCTTTGTATTTATGTGTTGGTTATTATTTTTATATAATTATAGATCGTCGGAGTGGAAATGCCTTTCGATAAACAAAAGTCTCAGCGCAAGACCTACTGTTTTATAACATTCGATTCTGAACAAGTTGTTTCTGAATTGTTGAAAACTCCAAAACAAAAAATTTCCGGCAAAGAGGTTGATGTTAAGAGAGCTACGCCAAACCCTGAAAATCAAATGTTAATGGTACGTGGCGGAGGTAGAGGCGGTGTGCGTGGTGGCCGTGGCAGTTATGGCCGAGGTGGTAAGTACACATATATATATATATGTATTATTTTTTGATCGTTGCTGCGCATAAGGGTACTTTCTGTTGAATCTCGTTCTCAAATTTTGCCAATCTGTCCCATAATAATGTTGCCGCATAAATTGGGCGTACCATGAATTAATCTTCTAGTCTGTATTTGTCAGGAGCAACTGATTTTTCACATCATACTTTAAGTGGGACCAATTACATATAAAGGGAAACAAAGACAATAAATTGCTGGGCCATTATTGGCAAAAAAGTTTGTTACCTTTCACATATAGAATCTTTTATATATGCCTGTAGCAAGCCCTGTAGCCGGAAGATTTATTTAAAATTGCAATCCTTCTATTTCACTTAAGCGATTTTTATCTGTGCGTTTAGTTATGGCAAGTTTTAGTGGAGAATATGATTTCTATCTGGAGGGGATTACATTAACTAAATAGTTTTTCATTGTTCTAATGAGCAATATTAATAGACGTAATCGCAATAAATATTCTACAATTGATGAAATATTAAAATCGTTTATAGGTTACACTCATCAATGGGCCGCTCCAGGAGCGTATTCGGCCTACGGTGGCTACGGTTACGATACGGGCTACGGTGACTACTACAGCAGTGGCTATTACAATGGCTATGACTATGGTTACGGTAAATACCATAATTACAATAATCCACAAAGCTCTAATAATTATTACAATAACAATACTTCAGCTCCCAACAATTATCATAAAAATA